TATCTAGACTCAGGAGAACTAATACTTGCAGGAAGCAACTTGATTACCTGTGGCTCAGTGGTGAAGGTTTTATTTTGATCCAGTGAAGCTACAAACTAATTCTCAGCCTCTAAGTAGTCCAGCGGAATTTATTGGGAACATTTCAGACTACAGGATTCATTTTTACAAGTGTCTTGGTTTTTCAGTGTTTTAGGTGCCTTTCTCTTCTACCTTCTCTACTTTCAAAGATTCCACTTGTCTTCTCTTACTATTTACTTTTGTCTTACCCAACATGTTTTCTCATGCAAAATAAGCATCTCTTTGTAGAATTTTCTTGAAAAATATACCTTCTGAACCAAAACCAAAGTAGCTTCACCAATGTATGTTGTCAGCCCCCAAGGCTGCAGAAATCTTCTACAACGTATACTAATATTTTTATTTAGAAAGGAATAAATAAATGGTAATTATCTCAAAGCTTTCTTTTGGTTTTTTTGGGGAGAAAGAAAATCTGTTTTCTTCAGATGAAGGGCTGCATTTTATGAAATAATGTCTTATGGCATTTTCTGTGAATTTTTTTTCTTTTGAATACACCTAGCTCAAATTTCATATTTTGAACTTCTGTCTCCTGTACACTTACATGAAACAAAAACATTTTAAAAATAGATCAGCCTATACTATCAGGAAAGTAAATATTTAAGAATTGGAGCCCCTTTGATATGTTAATATTTTTATACATTCTTCCTTTTATCTCTATAAAATGTTACATTTTTAATGCATAAAATACCCTGTTAAATCAGAACATCAGCAATTATCAGAGCAAGTTTTAACATGTTCTTTGCCTGTTGTCTAATTCCTTGATTTTGATTTTTTTTTACAAAATAATTTCCCTGCTAATCATGTAGTTACTGTCAAGGCATGCATTGTACCATTGTGTAAACACTGTGTTAGTGAACACTATAATATCTAAGATGTTTGCAATCTGACCTACTGAAAGAAAAAATTTCTTGATATTTCTAGTTTCCTTTAAAAATCTCTGCTTAATTTGCCTGGTACCAAAATATTTCTACAAAATTTTTTTTTGGAGCATAACTCTCAATGAAACTAACATTTTCTTCTAAATTGAAACACAGAATTTTATGAACAGTCTTGCAGCCCAAGATCTGGGAAGACTTTCAACAAAATATTTTTGTATAGTCAAATCAGTGTATTTGCCTTCAAGTTTCTTAAGCTGGGATCGATATATATGAGAACATATTTTATAATTAAGTATGTTAACTAGAATTCAAGTTCATTTGGCTGAAAGGCTCATTTATTTATATATTTATTAGAGAAGCAATTAACTGGTACACTAATTTTTTGTCTCAGTAATTCTTTATTGGTGTACTATTTGTTTTCTGAAATATTTCTGGTTTAATTTTCAATATTTCCTATCCTACAGGATAAGATTATTTGCAAACATTTATTTTCTTCCTTTTATTTGCTTTTAAATATTATGGAAACACATTCTTGCAAACTCATGGTAGTTATAAACCACATTTAAGAATGGCTGAGAATGTGCAGCATACAGTAAATCCTACCAAGCAGTTTGATAATATTTCTAGATGTCTTTGACCCTTATTTTTGGGGAAAAACAAAATAAAACAAAGACAAGCCAAACCTCAAAAACAAACCCCATTAAAACCCCTAAATCTCAATTGAAAAAAGTGCAATTCACTGCTCAATTCACACCAGGCCAAGTGGGAAGAAGAGTGCTGAATGCAAAAAGAATGCTTGGTCCTAAAGAGATAATGTGAATTCTTCAATTCTCTCTTGACTGATGAAAGGGTGAAATTGAAGGTCCCCCAGAGAACTTCAGCCATTCCTTCCCAGCTGGATCAGAAGGGGCAGGAAAAATTGTGTGTGTCAGAGAAAGTGATTAATAGAATGTCCTGGAAGTAAACAAACCCACACATCAAATTATATTATATAAAAAGATGCCTATACATAAAGTATTTGGAAATATATGGTATTTCTAAACTTCCATATGATTTCTGCCTCCTGATACTTCTTTAAGTCAGAAAATTCTCTTCTTTACTGCTCCATGTTATATTAAAATTTTATTTATTATTTTATATTAATTGATTCATTATATAATTCTGATAAAAGATATTTGACTTATGGAGAAAAAATCTTTTAAAAATGTAATTGTGCTTATTGTGCAGCACCGAAAAAAATCACAGTATTGTAGTCAATCAGCTTTATATGTTTATTATTTCTTTCTGTTAGTAGCATGATATTTCTCTTTATTATTAATTGTAACTTTACTAGTAATGGAAAAAAAATTCCACATCACAATTTCTGTATGAGGAAATGTTCAAAAGTTTTTATAAAAATTATGAAGTATCATAAAGAAAGTTATGTTTTGCCCAGCATAAAAAGAAATCCAATAATCCCTGCAGAAAACCCAATATAATATCCTAACTGGACATCTTTGACATAATGTCAGCATCCAAAATGGGCGTGCTATAATCTGCACAGTTCTAATTACCTTTTAGATGGCTTTGCCTGGTATTGATTGCTGTGCATATTTCTCAACAGATAATAGTGATTTAAAATGATAATTCCTGATTAGGCCTGTGAAATATTTGTCTTCACACTTATTACCTTAGTTCTTATAATTAAATGACATGATGTTGAATTTGCATGCAAACTTACATCAATAAAAAGCATAAAATAGGTATTTACAGAAAGCAACTCTATATTCATGGCTGTGACATGAAGATAATAAAGTACATAGGGTCCTGATGAGTCCTCTTTGGTGCAGTCAGTGCAGATTTGGGATCTGGGCAAACAAAACTGCACCTTTGGGGATTTTTTAAAATTTTTATTTTTATTTCATGCTTATATAATGGAATGCCAAATGGAGGGAGCTCTTTTGCCCATCTAGATTGATGACTTTTAAATTAGCACAATTAGAGGATTAGTTTTACTGAAGGGCATAGGATAGCAGGATAGTTCAAAGGTCTCTGCTGTGTTTTGTCCAGATCCCAAGTACAAGATAAGTATAGAAGATTTATTATAGTGGCTAAGTAACTAATTATAATCATGTCTAAATCACATTTGTCAAGGGGTTAATAAAATTTTGAGCAGAACTACTCAGATCTCTTAGGCTACTATTGTAGTCTAAACAATTTTTCCCTTTTGTTCCTATCTGCCTCTCTTGGGTTCAATAAGGAATCCTGTCACCCTGGTATCCTTATTCTTTTCCCAAAAATGAAACAAAAGTGTTTCCGAATTATCAAAAAAGCAAGTAGCAAAACAAACAAGATCTAGCAGAAGAGACAGAGAGAACATATTTTTCCTCTCTTGTGTTGTGATAATATAATGTTTTTATTTATTTATTTATTTTTTTACCAAACTGGTTAGATTGACCACAAATCATTCCAAAATTGATGTTCATGTAAGCAAAGTTTCCAAGTTTTTTTGATTAATCAGTTTGGCCTTATAACTCCTTCCTTTTTATTTTTTGACTTTGATAAAACTTTGGTGAAATGAATAAACAACAACTGAAGAAGAGTAACTTTGCTTTGTGTTGCCTGCCATAAGAGTGTAGGAATGCTTATTTCAACACCTTGAAACGTTTACTCAATGGAGACTGGGACTCCACATCATTTAAAGAGAAGTCTAAGTGTCTTATTCATTTTCTGATTTGCTCATATGTGGGAATAGTGAGGCATTTCCAACTCTGACAGAAAATATTAAAATTAAAAACCACTTTATACCTTATATTTTACCACCTAAATGAATTGTGGCTGCCTGGTGCTTCTCAGATTCAGCAGCAGATCAGGTCCTTCTAGAACAAAGACATCTCAGAGACTGTTGAAAGACCCAGTAGGACAGAGTAGAATGCCTTTCTTAGAATTTTCTCTTGTCTGCTGAGATAACACAGATTTGTAGTGAAAGGTGGGAAAGAGGGGTTGAACTCATGCCAGTTTGAATGACTGCAGTACTTTCTACTGCTAGGAAAAAAACTTATTCCTTTATCCATAGCCCATGGAGAAAAATACATATGATTCTTGTCCTGTTTTAGTGTTTCACATTGAAACTCCTCATCTCTATCATAGAATGAACTCGGAGCTGTATGTGCTCATTTACACATACATGAACTTTAATGTTAAGACAGGGATTTCACAGACACAAAGAACTCTACAGAGAATATAGAGTGCACTCTATGGAGAATATACAGAGACTTCAGCATGCTGTGAACATATCACATTTGCTGCATCTTCTATGATCACCTGTACAATGTATGAGCTATGCTCAGCATCCCTGCACAGACCTCTGCTGTTTTGCAGCTCATCTGACACATCCTAGGTATGCTAATCTCTTGCACAGTCATCATATTAATAATGTAATTAGTACAATAAATTTATAAAAAACAGTCAAATACAAATGTCTTCCAGATCCAAGATTTTTTGTTAGTGAAAGGCAAACATGCCAATGTTAGAATACTGTAATCTTATTACTATTGTAGTTCTAATGTCAATCACAGCTCCACATGATCATGACCACACATCCTGGCATGCCAAAGTTTCTTAGACAGTGAAAAATATACATTATCCTCAGTTTTGGAATTAAAAATATGACTGAGTCAAGTAACTATGGATAAAGAAAAATTGAGGTTCTTCTTGATGTCTCTATGTGCTCCTTTTCCAGTTTGTTTGTAAATTTAACCAAATATGTAAACTCATACCCATGACAGAATTATAATTTTGTCATTGTGATGATCTCTTTAGTACAAAACCTTCTATATCTTTTTGGAGGATTTGAAAAATAACTCAAAATTACTATTTCTCTTTCTAATAATTCTTTTAAGCTCTGAAAGTTTCAGATAAAAGGTTCCATTTTATTTCTGTATTTATTTCTGAACTTGGAGAAGGCACTTGTCATAGCCTTGGACATTGATCAGAAAGAGCTAAGAAAAGCTGACATCATGGTGAAATTAAATTCCTTGCCATTTCTTGACAGAAGGTGACATGCAAGCAAATACATTTTTTCCAGTTTACCTGATGAAATTTGTCTGGACATTGTAAGGATCCAACTCACAAGGAAGTCCAAATTCAAGCTGCTCATATGAAAAGAAAAAGCTGAAGGTAAGTAATATGAGTTATTACAAGATGTCCTGTGTTGCCATTTAAGTATGTTCCATCAGCTGACTGTATTCAGCTGAGATGTTTTTGCACTGAATCTTTTGTAACAAATGACAAAATACATCCAGATGTTGAGGTTGTTGACACTTGACACAAGGTTCAGGAGATTTTATTAATTTTCATTACTATTCTTGAACTCTATAATGTTTAGATATATTACATCCTCTAGCCTTAAACTAATCTATATAACTGAAAAAAATCACTTACAATGAATCTATTTGGCTGTATAAATTAAATAGTCATATGACTATTCTCCTTGGAAAGTAGAGGGTAAGAATTATATCATCCCATAGGTAAGAACTTAGGAGGAATATGTGTCAAGTTCTTTGCTTTATCAACGCCTATCATGTCATTAATCTTCAGTCAGTAAGTCTTATTTTTAAAGGGAACATTATTTTTAAAGGGAACAAGTGTAAAAGTAGTTAGAAGGTAAGCAGAAAGAAGCAGAAAGTTATACCATATCAAGTGAACAACCTGTTTCATGAAGTAAAACAATAACTTAATTTTTTATATTAAAGGTTAGCAGCTTTTTGCTCAGTTACATGGCTTAGATGTAAATCGTTGTGCTTTAATAACTGGCTTATTGCCATCTATGTTAAGAAATATGTCACTATTATACTTAACATTCATTTCAGGGGAAGTATTTGTATATACTAGATCTTTTCAGCCTTATAATAACTCAGTAAATCTTAATAGCAATTACACTCTCTGAATACTTTACTGAAAACCAAAATGATGTGATTGAGACTGGGCCAACCATCAGCAAATGTTATCAACATTCAGTATAGGGAAAGACTCAGGGAGAGGGAAAAGGGAAAAATTCAGTCTTAACTAAAGTGTATATGTATCATATGAAATTTAAAAAACAAGCAAGCAACAAACTGATGCAAAATAAATGTAAAGTTCATGAACATTTACTTGCTTCCCTATTTACAGAAAATGTCTACTAAAGGGACTTTTTTAAACTGATGTCTCAGCAAATGAGACATCACATTTTTTGCTTGCTAAATTCTTCCTCTGCAGAACTGAGGTGAGACAGCATGCACAGTCTTAATTCCAATTCACCAGTGCACACTACTAGCCTCAGCTCACCTTCACTGAAAGTGAATATGTAGGGGAATATGTAAGGAAATATTTGTAGGTGTGTGACTCGGGGGGGTTGTTGGCTGAAAACATTTCAGATGCATGTGTGTGGGTAAGGGCAAGGTCGGACCTTGCCCTGGTGAAGAGATGCATTGTCCTGTACACCCCAGTCCTCACAGCCAGCATCCCAGCCTGGCAGCAGCTGCCAAACCTGGCATGGCAGAGCTGATGTCCTGCCCCTGGAGCCTCTAACCCAGCTCTTGGGTGGCCAAATGACATGAAGTCCCACCTAGGGGAAGGCCAAGGGGTATTTTAAGTAGAACATGCAACAACCACATGTACTTATTCCATGCTCACTTGGAATCTCTACCAGTTGAACAGCACTTGAACCAGGAGTGGTTTGTTCTTTTCTGTATATTTTCTCTCTGTCTTTCCTCTTCTTCTAAGTCCTTCTTTTTGGATTTTTTGAGTAACTTAAAATCAAACAGGCTTAGAGTTTGCTGAGTTGAATGGGTTACATTAATGCTTTGAGAAATATTTCATTCTGATTGAATGCATAAACTTTTTATCACAGTTCTCTGGTTTTCTGAAGTTTCCAGTAATGTTTTTTGTTGTTTTGATGCCTTGAGAATATCTCATTGGTATTTCTGTCATGTGTTTAACTCAGAGTATGTGAACAATCATAAGTCCTTTTAAGTGTCTCATCAAGTGACATTTTGGGGCCTAACAGTAGGAAAGAACCATGTTCACTTGCAGTTCATTCTTGTCTGCAACTTGCAAGGAGACTTGCTGCACCAAAATATCTGGAAATCTTGTTTAAATCATCTACACCACAACCTCACTGTGCAACCTATGCCAGTCACTCTCACAGTAAAAAAAAACCAAAAAGTATTTTCTGCTGTTCAGACAGAAACTTCTGTGCTGTGTATTGACCCCTGAGCCAATATTGACCCATGAAATACAGAACTAGTTACTGGTCTTGCACTAGAAATTATGCCAATGATCATCTGATTCCTCTGGGCACAATTGTTCAGTCCCCTCTTAATCCCCTTCACTTCTGCTCACCCACCCCATAGTTCAACAGCTTACCTGTGATAAATGTATGGTATGCTCAGCTTGCTTAAGTGTTCTTAAATATTTACATTACCTGGGATCAGTCTGCTGTGAAAACACAGAGACAAACATATAAGCAAGAAGGCATTGTGGAAGTTCATTTGGGGTCTCTGTCCCCTTGCTTGGGTGCTTTATTTAAGCTCAGGCCCTTGCTCTATGTCCTTGTGTGCCCAGCACTGTACCCACCATCTGTGATGCAGCATCACTGACTTGGCTTCTGCCCTCCTTGGGTCATAGAGTGGTCTCAGACTGGCATTTTCACCATGGACATGATAAATGTTATCTGCCTTACTGGTCCCTGACTCTTCCCTTCATAAACACTTCTCTTTAGCAGCCCCTTTCAAGATTTGTAAAGCTATTGTAAACAAAATCATAAAAAGACAATTGATGATGCACTGGGACTGTGTCCTTTAATAAATTTTGGCTAGATATTTGAGCATTCAAGTACTGCTTTTACAATTCTCTATGGAAAATCTCCCAGTAGAGTGGCCATTCATGAAAAGGGACAATATTTCCAAACATTCAGATGTCTAATTTAATTGGTCAGGTTTTTGAAAAGTGTTGCTGAAATGATATCAGACACTGTCCGAGCATATAACCACACAGTACTGTGAGAGATCTGAAATTCCCATCTTTTATTAAGATGTCATTTAAAATATAATTCCTGGTTTGCTTGAGTCAGCAGCAAATATTTTCTGCCTGGCACTAAATTCATATTACCCTTCTCAATCTAAAGTTACCCAGTAACGCTTCTTGATAAAAGAGAATCTACCTGGGATTTGATTACACGGAAGAAGCAGCTGTTGTAGGAGTCAATATTCTACATAAGGTACTAGAAGGTCATTGTGATTTCCTCCATTTTATTAAGGGAAAAACCTGAAGCAGAGAACGACAAATAGGTTGCTCAAGGTTATCTGGCAGTTGCAGATCTACAAATAAGCTTAAGCTTTCTTAATCTTAGAAAAGGTGAAGACAAGATTGGTTTGCTCATGGAATGTCTTGCACCTTCCTTGAAACTATTTCTGAAATAAATGAGAAAAAAAGAATATTTGTTAGAAATTAAGCAGCAATTTCCACTCTGACCACTCAAATATTCTTTATATTTCTGAGTATTCAGTAATTATTTTTTTTCCTGGTATTCTCCCCTCAGGTATTCTTTTCTGAAAAAAACCCCAAAAAGTTAAATAACGTTTACTATATTCAAAATATAGTAAATATTTTCCCTTTTGACATGCTATCTTTTATAGGAATAGGTTGCACTTGTGAAATTTTTATGGAAAGCTCTTCTTGTTTATATAGACATATACAGTTAAAGTGTCTGAAAGAGGCTTTTTTACCACTTCTCTTGTATTTAGAAGCTCCATGTATAGTGAGTTATATTTTGACATATACTTCATTTTAATATGATTTATATCTGATTTTAATCAGGCTTTATTACTAGAAACTTTTTCTTTATTCATGATAATCTAAAGACTGCTTCAGAAGCTGAAATAATTTTTACTATGTCTTTTAGTTCTTGAAAAAAGTATCTGTTTTGGAACTGCTGAAGAAAATACTTAAATCCATTGTCTGGAAAGTGGTATTTTTGGGGCTTTATATAAACATTTGAGCTTACCTTTGTATGTGAAGTAAAATTATTTATTTTCCTGTCTAATTCTCTTTCTAGCTCTCTCATATTAACCATCTGCTCTGGTTTTTTTCCCTCATCTAATCTCCTTTCTCACATACTTTATTTTTTCTACCACAAGGTTAAGCTCTTCTGTGCAGTAGTCAACTGAATGTGAATTTCTTTCAGCTGTATATCAAGGACCACAAAGTATCCAGTCTTCCAGGCTTCATATTTTCATTACATTCAAGTCTAGTACCATAAAACAAGCAGTGAAGAGTGTAAGATTTTATCATCTGAAGTTGCTTGGATGTATGGTTTTAAAATCATGCTCAGGATTCTTGCAGGAGAGCGGCTTATAAACCTGAGGTAGCTTCAAGAAAAAGTTTGTGCATATGCAATACACCATACATAAATAGAAAATCTGATATTTTTGGGAAGCATAAGATTGACATGAGTTTATTAAATATTCATTAAATTTCTTGCATGTGCAGATTTTGAAAAGGATGCCTGGTTCACTGGCCACAAACTGAAGTGCTTCTGCCTGCATAGACCGTGTGAGTATTTGGGATTATTGCATGGCAATTCCAGTTGAAATAAAGGAGAACTAAATACATTTAAGACTTAAATTACTAACTGAGGAAATCTACTTTCAATCCTCAAAGCTTTGAACGTTACCAGATTTTAACTGCCTTTCTCAAAACGTGTGTCAAGATCCTAATGAGCTAGAATTTCCTAGGTCTGCATAAACTATATATGGGGATCCCCTCACACAACTTGCTTTGGGTTTTGAGTTTCTTTGACATATTTTTTTTTTTTTTTCATATGTGCCTCTATACTCTCTAAGCAAGAAATTTGCAAAGTCCTACTTTTTTCAACAGTGTCTGCCCTGTCTACCGGTAGGACAGTTCCCAGATAACTGAGGTCTCCAGGCTTCTCTCATCCTGCAGTTTCTGAGACAAATACTACATGAACACTAATCTTGCTGATCCTATCAGAGCTCCCAAATGAGAGTATTTTTTTATTTTTTTTTCTCCAGAGTCCTTTGTGTATCTCTGGTTTTGTCTCCAAAACACTGGAAGCAGGATCATCAGTTAGCAGGAAAATTTGGTCAGAGGTAAAATGATCAAATAAAACACAGTGAAAATATTGGAGACAGATGATGATCTTACTGTAAGGGCTAGTGAAGGATAAAAGATGTACTTTGAGTACCAGCAGAGAATTAGGGGAAAATGCACTAGGTTGATAATATTAGTTAATATTTCACTGATACATCTCAATTACAAATTGAAATTTGCTATGCAAATAATTGCAAAACATATAAGAAAAGTATTCCCAAACCAGGAAACTGTAAACTAACTTAGTAAAATAAACTAATTAATACTCCTTATTTCATTGCGATTTCAATGTCAATTTCCAAGAACCTTCCAAGAAGCTGAATTTCAAGAGAATAGACTTGGAGAATAGACTCTGGAGAGGTTCTAATGAGACCTGTACTGTACATCAGTGTCATGGGTTAATTGAGCAGTTATTGGGAGGTGTACAATAGTAGGCATAAGTTTTGTTTCTGGATTAATGTATAACATGTGTACTGTTACTGACAGAAATATAGGCAATTTTTCATGGTGCTTAGGCACTAAAACCTTAACTAGTCACTGAGAGGTGAAACAGAAAGATCAACTCAGCCCTCAATTTTTTTTCTTAACAGGGAAAAATGAAATAAACAGGAATTTTCCCATCAATAGTGTATTTGGAATTGTTCACTCAATATAGACTTCAAAGGGCCCTGAGGAAAATGAGATCACTTGTGATGATCTCTATTTTACATCAAGCCTGACCGAGTCCTGAATGATTTTTTTGTAAGACTTACAGATAATATATTGCAGGTCTATTTATTAATACAGTGTTTTCAGATTATGACATAAAAACAGTAAGAGCCTGCAACTTCTCCACATCTGTGTGAGACCTGTGATAGTGGGTTGTTTTCATTCACTTCAGTTTTCTGTTTTAATCATAGTATACAAGGTATTATGAAAAATTAAAACTAAAAACTAATACAACAGCACTGTTCTTGTTTGGTTTAAAGCTCTTGTTTACTTTTCATTAAATTGAGCAACTTAAGGAAAAGAAAGGAAAAAGACATTGCTCATGTTAAGGTTTTTCAATTACTATAAATGATACTGTTTGCTTGTTTAGGATCAAAATAGTGTGATGGAACTCATAAATTTCTATTGAGGCTGAGAAACTGATAGAAAATTCTCTGATAATTCCACTAAAATAAATATTCATGGAGTGATCAGTGTTACATTGCTGATATGGATCATGCCATGGTAAGCATGCATCAGAGCTTTATACTTCCAAGACAGATTTTAAAGATGTGAGACAAAGTATGATTTTGGCTTCTTGGCTTTTCATTTTTATTTTGTTTCCTTTTGAATGCTTTATAGCTGTTGTGCCATTCTATCCACAAAACCAGCTTTACTGATTCTTACATATAACTAAATGTTCACAGAATCTGACTTACATTAGCAAAATGCTTTTATTTCCAATTGCTTGATGTGATGAAGTCATTTATTCAACCCATGTATAAGTGAGTTGACCAAATTTATCTCAAGTATAAGTGGGCATAAATCAAGATAAGTCATTGGAATTGCACAAGCTTTCATCTTTGCTAAATTTCTCTCACTCTGTCAAGGAGTGGTTAAGTTTGACTCATTTTAAGTAGTTTAACAACATTGATCCAGTTAAGATGAATAACACATCTTTACATAGAAAACTAAGAATGTGTCCTGGTTTCAGCTAGGATAGAGTTCACTTCTTTTCAGTTCTTGTTACAGTTTTGGATTCAGAATCAGAATGATGTTGATAACACTGTGATATTTTGGGGCTTTTTGTGCTGTGTTTTTCTTAAGTTGAGGATGGTTCCTTTCCTTGTCTCGTGCTCTGACATTAAGGGCGTATACAAAAGAAAGTGAGTGGGAGCACAGCTGGCACAGGTGACTCAAACTGACCAAAGACAGAATATTGTGACATAGAACATCATGTCCATTATATAAACTGGGGAGAGATACCCAGAAGAGGGGGCCAATCTGGGTTCAGGAAGAGGGATCTGGAATCTGTCAGTACATGGTGAGCAGTTGCACTGTGCATCAATTTTTTTTTTCACAGGGATGGGAGTGGAAGAGAAGAATGGTTAGCAAGAAGCTGTGTGGTGTTTCATTTCCAGCTGGGCTTAAAATTGCAACAGAATACTTGCAAAATTATAGGTTAATATCTGAAAACTCATAAGAAAACACATTTTTACCCATAACCATCAGTTTTACAAGCATCATTCAATCATAACCCCACCCCAAGAAAGAAAAATAATGCCTTTACAATTTGGTTTTCTATGCTCAAAGTCTAGAATTTGCAAAAATAAGTACCCATCAATTATATGTCTTACAGTTTTTCCTAAGGGTGTTTAATTTTTCCACTCTATATTCTCTCCTGTGATATACACTGAAAGTGAAAGTGTGTCTGTGCATGCATTATGCAGTATGGGAAAATTTATCTCAGTATTTAGAGAATTGGGGCCACAGTGGTAGAATTTCTTTTAGAAATATGTTTGGTTTAAAAGAGTATCTGGATGTAAAATTATAGAAATAGGTTAATCAACTATTGGCCTTGAATACGTAATTTTGCTAGCTATAAGATATCAAATCTGATTTAGCTGAAAATAAAGTAAATTCATCATTATTTCACATGTTTTCCCTAAGTTAGGGAAAGGATATTACTCAGCTTTCCAAAAAAAAAGAGATCATTTTTATCCCTATGTATCCAATTTCAAACCAAGAGAGACTTGTTCTGTGTTTTATGATAGGAACAAGTAGTGAAACAATACAAAGATTCTATACTGAGAGAGAAATCATCTCTGCATGTTAATGTTAGAAGCATATATCAGTTCATTCTACAGTTTTTCCAGATGTATTAATTTCCCAGATGACATTGTTAGATGTTTTTTATTACTTGCTGAGGGAAGCCAGTAGCTGAAAAATATATTTACAGAATTTGCATTGAAGAAATTTTCTTCTTAATATTGTAAAGTAATTACTTCTTGTTTAAGCAAGTCTTGGGGCAGAAAGCTCTAGATGTGTTTGCTATGTATAAAGACAACTATTGGTTAGCATGAAATATGAATTCATTCTATCAATGCAAAGTGGTAAGTAAAAGAGAAGTCTATCATAGTAGAGGCAAGGGGAATATTATCTGATGCACGTGTCTACAGAGACAAAGTAATTGTATTGCATGCATCGAAAGCAAGCTTTCCCTCCCAATTAGAGAACTCTTCCATTACAGCATTCTGCTTACAAGTCTAGAAAGACATACATTTTATTAAATACCTGGCAGTAACATATACTTGAACTCCAAAAATATTGGATTGGCTAAAAGTTGTTGGCATGGGACTATGTGCACAGTACTGATCATCAGGGACATCCAGAAGAGGTTGCCACCCCTGTTTTAGCAGTTTACCATCTTTTTCCTGCAAGTGTAGTGACAGAGCAGAAGGGGAAAAGGAACATATATTACATCAGCCACAGTAAATTTAAACATATGTAGAGTGAATGAGTTTAGAATACAGACTGGGCAGTGAGGTTAATTTCTTCCCCAGTTGGAAAAGGAGACCAAGATGGGGAGATGAGAAGTCAAACACACATCTGTGAGAGGCCAATGGGAAGTGTCACAGATTTTCCTGCACAAGGTGCCTGATCCATAGAAATAGATCTGGCCATGAGGCTTGTATTCTCAGACCTTTCTGTCTGTAGTGTTTTCTCACCAGGAGTTTCAGGAGTAGAGATGTGCAGCTGAGGAGGACACAGTGAACCAATGTGGCCATGATATTTCAAAATGAAGTGACTGATGAAGTTGCCAACTACCTTTTTGCTTTTAATATGTGTTCAAGAGACAGACAGAGTGTCTTAGTGTTCCCTGAGTCCTCAATAAAATAGAACACAATCACTTGCATCACAGCAATATTTAGTGGCACTGTCTTACATCTATCATGATTTATCCTTGCACTGTAGACCTGTGTGCAACAGCCACTTACAACTCAGATGTCTATTGGGCTGATTTTCATGATCCTTGTATGAATGTTGATATAGGATAAGGAGTTACAAAGGTTGCTAATCATTAAAATATTAAAAATTACAATTTATTTTACTTAAATTCTCAGATCAATCCATTCTTCAGTTCCAAGGAACATGAAAAAATAACACATATCAAAGAACAGCTGCAGGAGTTTATGTTGATCAGGTATTTATATTACTTTTGAGGTGGCTATGCTGTACTTATATTGAGAGAAATCCATTCTGTCTTTTTGCTCTTCCTAATCACCTATTTTATTTTTTTTTAATCTATTAATGTGAACTTCTAACAACCTTTAGTAACTCCATCGCCTGTACAAGCAATCGTCCTCACAATTCCTCATCTCAACTACACACTTCTGGCTTTTACCAATTGACATGTATGAAATACAAACTTACTTTCCTGAGCTTTTATTACATCCTAATATTATTTTTAGGATTCAGTGGCAAAATAATACAGTATTTTATAATCAAGTAAATCCTTCAAGAAAAAGCTGGGAGACAAGCTTGTGAACATTTGTTGATCTTTAGAAAGAACTGCAATGATTCAATGCATCCTCTGCTGTAAACCATCCCTAACTGGGCAGAGTAGAAAGCTTTGCCATGGAGAAATAGGATTTAGACTGTAGACCTAGAGGAACTAAGAAAGAAATCTTAAAGGCAGAGAAAAGTGAGAACAGATTTGAACAGGAATTTGTTGGGGTTTTATGGATTTCTTTCCTGGCAATATCTGAGCACAAGAAGAGAAAAATAACATATTTTGATTACCATAGGAGCTATATGTTCAAAGAATGCTAGGAAAATTATCTTACATGACAGATATGTTATGGAAGTATTATATTTCCGTACATATTTATCAGTGTGAAATAAAGATAGATTTGGGAAAGAGAAAAGCAAGCAGAAGATTCCCTACATTAAGATCCTCTTTTCTGTCCCTTGAATCAACACCTGCAAGTCAAACATATGCTATTCTATCCTGTAAAAGACTTAGACTGCAGTCTAAGTCTTCTACTCAAAAGTTGGTAATGTAGTTGGGATGCAAAGTTGGTCCAGGCTGAGTACAGTACTCCAGACATGTCTTGTTTGAAGTATGTTTATCAAAGATGCACCTCTTGTCCCATGGCTCTTATATGCTCATTTATATAATCCACTATGATGCTTTCTTTTTTCACAGGCCAGTCGACTCAGCTTGTGACCCATTAGAAGCCTGACTGTTTTCTGTAAAATTGGTTTCCAGACAGCTCTTCCCAATCATGAGTCTGGTAGACAATTACTGTTTCCTACTTTATGCTGTTGTACATGTCACTGTTAAATATATTTTTCTTCTGCTCCAAAAAAGAATAATTTAGTCTTAAAACTCGAAGATTGGTTGCTTTTTTTTTTTTTTTTGACAGGATGGACTAGATTAGCTCATAAACTTATGCAATGAATATAATGTCTAGATTATATTTGTTATTATCCATACCATTAGCAAAAATTCCAGATCATATGCATTCTGGGTGCAGAATTACCACTAGGCAATGGACATATGTGAAGTTTTTGTTCAAAATTCAAACAGAATGATTTTGCAGACAAGATTGAGTATGCGATACAAACTTGTGCCTTCAGGTCTAAAGTCAATTTGGGATTTGTTTTTCAGAGCGATATTACAAAATTGTATACGTTTTTATAATTTTAAAATATTTTTAACAGAATACCTTAACTGTTAATAGCTCAATCTGTGAATTATTTTATCCTTTTATGCATGTATCTTGTTGAAAAAGTATGGGAGGATGCATTGGTAAACATATGGCATAAGTATCTAAAAACGAAACTCATGAAAAATGTGTAAAAATGGAGAAAAAAATACCACCAACAGGACATGGCATTCAGTTTCACACAGAGAAAACATGAAAATTCCATGTACAAGAACAGCAATCTATCTTGTTTCATTATTCTCTGTTGAATTTCAAACTTATTAAAATCATTTATATCATTATATTAGTTTGACATTACATATGCTTTCCTGATTTTATTTATTCAGATAACCTTCAGGTGCCTGCCATGAAGAAGACCATGCAATTTTAACAGGCAAGTAAAAATATGTATTCAAGTTTCTGCTTTCTAGAACTATGTGTACACAAACTCACATGAAGAAAGCTGGTGCTCCTTTGTATCACTCTGTTAGTATTGAAGGAACAGGGACAAACAACGGAAGTTCAAGAGAGAGCAACAAAAAATATCGCTTTAAAAAACCTGATTCAAGAAAAGTTTCCATGAACAGCAGATAAATATTCAAGCATAGTGCCTGCCCTGTCAGTAAATGTAAGTTTACATAGGCATATTTTTTCCAGTTTACAGAAGGACCAGAAGCTAAATAATAGTAATAATAATAGTAATAATTCTAGTTATAATAATAGTGATAGTAATAGTAATAGTAATAGTAATAGTAATAGTAATAGTAAGAATAATTTCTCCACAACTCATAGTATTCAACATATCATAAAGGACAGGGCAGAAAATTACATTCCCCATCTTAAAGTCCTGCACTCTTTTCCCAAGATCAAAGTAATTGTTTTTGAGAATGTGGATCACATTTAATATGCCCTTGGAACGCCACCAAATTATAACAGTGAAGTTAATATTTTGTTCTGATACTCTAAAACAAGATATTACAATTAGCATGCCACAAAAAATTCACGTGATATCATTGATCCTCTTTCACAAATTTGGAAATTTAGACTCAGATAGATAAAGTTTTTGACTGAGTTCAACTTGAAAATCACTAACAGACCTCTAAACATCATTCTTATCTCTTCACAGTCCTCTGCTCAGATCACTGACTGAAATAACAAACTGCTTATTGCCACTGAAATTATTCTAGAAACAAATTACTAAACCCTTGATTTATACTGGTAAATGGGAGAGTTAATTGGGGTGTTACTGTCTGCAGTATCTTGTTTTTAGGCATCAAATGTAACTTTCCTTTAAAATATTTTTCAAAAGTAGAAAAGTTACTTGCATTAATCTAGTCAAATTCTGCTTTGTCTGATATTTGATAAAAAATAGTACCTGTATTCTCATTTATTTTAGTCAGATTTCTCTAGATAACAGAAAATAATTAAGCTCATTTTATCTCACTTTGATATCTCTATGTTCTGCATATTTGGGTAGCTATTTATTTCTGCTCACAGTGGAAGTAAAATATTTACAGTAGTGATTGTAGAAAGATTACAGTACATTTTGGTGTGTGATCATGATCACTCCTTTATTAATTCTGAAAGGCCTAGCTAGAGATAAGAATGAAACTCCACCCAGCCTTAAAGAAATACACAGAAATTAAAGAGGTATTTCTGACCAAAGTTTAAAATAAGTTCTTTCCATTGAAAGCATTTATTTTTTATTTTGGTAACAAGATCTTGAGTCAAAGTAGTGTTTATTTCATTAGTTAAGAAATGTACTTTCACTCTTCTTTAAAAAGTAAATAAATAAACATATATCACTACATGGTGAAGCTAGCAGTGCTTAATTTCTTTCCCAGTGTTGAGTGACAAGTTTAGTTTTTATCATAGAATCAAAGGTGATTTGTTTCTTTTTTCCTCTTGACAGGAAAGGAATTATTTTCATTATGAATATCAGTTGGGTGCTGACAAGTCATAGAAATTGTCAGCTTTCACTAACTCACTAAAAAAAAACATAACTGGCCTTGAAAGATGAAGATACAAAAACAGAAACTTGAATATATCTTTTTGCTTCACTGTTAAAACTGCACTCTTTCATGACAGACACCTATATGAAATATGACTAAATAAAGGCTGTAAAATTACTTAAGAGCATAGACATGTTTTAGGCAACTGTTTCTGTGTGACATGAATGCTGATCTAAACCTTTTTCCTTAGGAATTTAAAATTGTCTTTTAATGTGGTTAGAATTGTACTCATTTTGAGATTACTCAACTCTACAAAAAGAATTATGTTGACTCTTCCTCATTAGGCACAGTAGGTTATATGAGAATTTTTGAGTACTTGTTGTGAAGAATTGTATTGTTGGTTTCCTATATGGCAGAGATTCTTAATGGAAATTTGAGAGATAAAGGATTACAAATTCCTGGATTACAAATCCAGTAGTGTCAAAGAAATAGATGAAATATCACTTATCAGATCACTTATGCAGTGACTTTCAAGCTGCAGAAATTATTCTGGTAAAAAGAAATTGATACACAAGTGCAGTCTTAAGAGCAGAGGATTTCTTTTTATTTTTCTAGTTCTATACTTGGCAAAAAAGATGGTCTTTTTTCAGTTGCACTCTTTCATAGAGAACTAAGCTCATTGGTGTGAGAGCTGTCAAATTTTTCAGTGGCTGCCAATAGGCCTAGATTCTTCATTGCTGTCCATCTCATTGAGAGGACCAAATAAGATATTCCCAAAACAAAATAAATACGTCACAGATAGGTGATGAAACTGTCCTGACTACAGCAGTGAACATTTTACAGTAGATGACCCAATAGCTAAATAAAAGACTAAGGCATGGACCATTTTTCAGTATTTCTAATTGTTTCAATATGTGCTTGATGGAGAAATCACAATGTTTTGTGCACCTAGTTTCCAAGAAGATAAAGAAGCTAAAAATTGCAGGTCTTGTCTGATTTTAATTTAGTATAATCAGAAGTAGTATGTCTTATGACTCTTAATGAAATGAGGTAAATTGATTTACAGTCAATTATGTTTCCCTTACAAAATGTGATGTTGTTTAAGTATATTCCATTCTTGTACCAAAATATCACTTTTTATTAATTTAATTATTATTATTGTCAGGTTTCTACCTGAGAAGTCTTTGGATGAATCTCGCATATGTTCCTTTACTTCAGACATTGTGGTTTGGTAATTTAGAAGAGTTTTTAGAGATAAATGGTATGCTCTGGGAAGAATTCAAAAGGTTTCAGTGAACTCCAAGAAACAGCTGTCCATTAAGTTAAGACAGGATCAACCTCTTTTGTCAAAGATCAAGGTTCCTGGAATATTGACGGCTTTCTGCCCTTTCCTCTTCCTTTCTGCATCTTTGTCTCCTACAACAGCTGTCTAGGCATTCCCAGAACCACCAACCCCTTTTCTCTCTGCCAAAGCTGTCTTGCCAAGGTAATGATGGATACAATGGTCTTCATCTTCATTAGATACAATTTGTCCAAAGGAATTTCCAGGGCAGTCTGGATACTGACAATGAGATTGATGTCTACAAAATAGGTCTTGATTCTTAGAGGGCTAAGACATGCTAATACTGCTTTATGGATGTAAGACCAGATTTATAAAACTGGATTTTATCCAGGCAGTCCAAAGCATGAGGAGGGAGAGCCAATTTGTCTGCAGGAATTTGTACAACCATGGTCACAGAATGCAGAAGTGGAAACACCACCATTATCACTGAGCCCTATGATACCCTACAGTCATAATGGATAGGAAAAAAACCACCAATACAAGGAAAACAAAGCCTCCCAAAATCCCAATTAGCTTTTTAAGCTTTCATTAGCCTGAAGAATTTCATTTCTATTAAATCCTCCAAGCTAATGGGAAAAAAATTTGGAAAAAAAATTTGCATCCCTTCTTTATTTAAATCATTGAAGGAATGTTTTCCCTTCATGCAGGCAATAAACATATTTTTTACATTTACATCTGTTCCTAGAGTTCTGTTGGGTTAATTTAAACTCAAGGTAAAGTATTTCATCAAGTAATTTGGAGGACAAACGTTACCATTTTAGAATATTTGCTAAATTATCATATTACAAGCAAAACTGAATATTTATGATTTCTAGGCCATTCTATTGGAGATCTGTGAAACAGTAACGTTTAGCATATGGGAATATGCTGAAAGCACAGGAAGCTTACTAAAGGGAAAAGAGCAAAGGGATACAAAACAGCAATTGACCCAGTTAGTGCACTAGATCAGGTCCAATGCTACTGACGACATCTCACAAGAGCTTCATCTGTGCACTCTTTAATACTGCTGAGACAGAAATAAAGCAAGGGAAAGAAATTATTTTCTCCAGTATAATAGTGATTTTATTGGACTTTGTGATAAGAATCAGTTCTTTAGGAAACAAAGAACCACCTCCAGATATATGTGTACTTCACATCTCAGTAACAAAAAGAAACACATTACTCAAAACATGATGTGAGAAGGAGCTGAATGCCATATTTTGCCATATAAGGCAAATTATGTTCTCACAAAACTTGCAGTTACACTGAATTATTTTTCCTGTGCAAAAAAGGTTTTATTTTGCTTTTCTTCATGGCTGTTACATACCCTAGAAAGTATAGGACTGGATTCTAAGTTTACAGAAATTAT